TTTTAAACTGGGAAGTAGATAAAATTTACCATCTAATAGAAGCCTTAAAATAGTCACACTTCCTTAAAACAACAAAGAAACACTTCGTAGACTGGCCTCAACTCAATCCTACCCAAATGGGTATCCTCATCCATCTCAAAAATAGTAAGTGTAGTCCTTGGCCATTACAATATGGAAAACAGAGAGACTTTTTTGCACTTATAACCAAGTTAAGATCATGACCTGATACCCTTGTTTTCATGTTTCCCACCTCAAAACAGCAGAAAACAATGCTGCCAATTTTCAGTACTATGTCAGCAAGACAGGTAGTCTGAAGGAATTCAGGGGAGGTCACCAAAAAAAACCACCCCTGGACCACAGGTTGCCCACTCATGTCCTTGAGCAACCCAATCAGGACCATAAGTTGCTCCCACCCATCCTTCAGCAACCCAATCAGTATTCAAGAACAGGCAAGAGGGGAACAACCCCTTCTGGTAGGTAATGAAGTTTTCTCTTCCTTCTGCATCAGTGAGAAGATTGGCTTACCATCCCAAGCATCAAACATGTCAGTGATGAAATAATCAATGAACGATATTTGAGATTTAGGGATACTGCAAGTATTCCTGTCGAAAACCGGCATCACAACAGGCAAACCTTGCCTCTTCTCCTCATCGGTCTGTAAAGAAAATGATGTGCACAATTATTTAGTTGATTATTGCTAACAATCTCTCCTCTATTTGTGTTAGCATTCTGAAGCTGTAACCGTGGGGGATGGTAGGAAAGGCATGAGCAGCCACCTATATGTTTAAGAAATAAAACAACAGGGCAAGAAACCAAGGTGTAATTGTTCGACTGAGGGGGAGGGACTCAGGGGCCACCCAAAGAAGTGTAGAGGCTGGAGTAGTCTCTGATGGGCAAAGTCTGACCTTCACCTCCACAGCTTTTTCATCTCCTGGGAAAAATGAAGACCAACATCCAGCTGGAATTTCTTCAACTTGCTCTCTCTTACTCACCTGTGCAAAATACTCCTCAGAGATGCGACCTGCCCACTCAATGCACTGTTCCAGTGGGCGACAGGGGTTGGAAACATCAGCACACTTAATTAGCATCCGTTTGATCAGGATTCGATTCTCAGGAGACGTGAGGACGTTTTTGACGGAATCCCCATCCCCATTTGTACTCTTAGGAAAACAAAGTTCAGAATATTTTTGTCAACTGTGCTTCTCTCTCTTGTGCACACATGGATACATTCTCTTGTGGTATAGATTCAGAATAGCTTTAGCCAGATTTCACTTGACCACCAAGATTCAGTTCCTGGTGCTATATTTTAAGGATAAAGACCAGGAACTGGCAAAATGGCAGCCTTAGATATTGAAGTGATGGTAACAGCTCCAGATATCCAAAGAATCATAGCAACGTGAAGTTGGAAGGGCCACTGAGTCTATAAAATCCAACAATCTGCTCAATGTTAGAATTCAAATTAAAGCATCGCTGACTGACATCTCTCCATCTTCTGCCTGAACACATTCAGCAAAGGGAACTCACTATCTCCTTCAGACATTGGTTCCATAGTTGAAAGGATGTCTTCTTGTAATTTAACTTTATTATTCTAGTCTGGGACTACAGAGAACAAATCTTGATGTTTCCACATGATAACTCTTCTAATACTTCAAAAGTGCTATTGTGTCCCAGTAAGACTTCTTTTGGGGGGTTAAACAACATATCCAGTTCCCTCAACATTTCCTTAATTATCCTTGTAGCCTTTCCCTGAACTTGCTTCAGTGTGTTCTAATCCTTCTTAAAGTGTGATGTCCAGAACTATATTGAGATGGAGTCTGTTCAATGCAGAACTGAGCAGAATTGTTACTTCTGTAATCTGGAATATATGTTATGATTCTGTTTTTATCCTTCTTTGTATTTTCTGTATCAGGTATGGTAGATAGGTAGGTAGATGAGTTTTTGATTTGTTTAAACAATTCAGATTGCCACACATTGTTATTCATTCCAATTTACCCCTTCCATTCCATTTTACAGAATGCAAAATGGTGCTAATGAACGGGAAAGGTTGCTACACTCTACAAAGGAAGCTGTCACAGAATCTGGTCATCTTGGCTCCCATCCTAGGCTCAACCTCTTCATGAGGTCATCTTTTGAAATGGTGTCTTCGTGGGCTTTCCAACATTTGTCAAAAAACTGCTGGGATAACTAAAGGAACTGGAGATTCAGCTCCTGTTTCAAAATACTTGGGCCTGATCCAATTTTTTGCTGAATAAATGGAAACAGTTCATGGAAAGCTCAAAGAAGCTCTTTGTGAAGAATGCAGAAACAGTCTCCTTCTGCAAAGGCTTCTAAAAGCACTACCAACTCAGAGGAAGCCTTCAATCCACCATGCAAAAGTAAACAACACATTCAAAGAGCAAAAAGGGTAACTGGAACCTGGATTTTCAGCAACCCCTTTTCCCCCAGAGCAGCACAAACGGCAAAGGAGATGAATACTCAAAGCACTACAACATCAGTCGGAGAATAGCAAGTTAATTGTTTGGGAAAGGGCAAATCACTGGTCTTACAAATTCCAAATTTAGAAATTGCAGAAATCCCAAATTTTGAAATGATTTCCTCATTTCCTCCTTAGCCATTTGCAGCAAGTGAAATGGCTGAATGAACAACTCAAGTGACAAGCACTCCAAAATCCACACCTCCGGAATACGGAGCATAAAAGAAGAAGTAAAAGACTCTATCTACTTACCTACCTACCTGGAATAAAATTAGAGAAGGCTTGCTTCCCCCTACTCTGAAAGAATGCTATTCAAATGCCCTTTTAAAAAAAACAAATGCTTTCTCTGACATTGAACAGACTCACAATTAATACCGGTTGCAAATCATCATTTGTAGCACTCTTTGCTGTACAAACCTACTGATGCTGTATTCACTGAGATGGTTTATTTGCACCATTCAAATCATGCCTTCACCACTGAGATATCAACTTTATTGTCTTTCCAGTGGAGAGCAAAAACATTCTCTCTCAGGCATGGAACGCAACAAACATGTTCATTATGAACATGTATGCTACTCAGAAATCTCTTCTTAAGTACTCTCCAGCTGATTTTACAGTTTTTGTGTGCTTAATTCTTATTGTTTTATTAGGTATTTAAATTTTTGTTCTTCGTTTTTTACTCTGTGGCTTTAGTGTTGTGAGCTGTCTCGAAAAACTTACATACCTACCTCACATAATGAAAATAAGCAACTTATTTGACTTAGCATGATGTGGAAAATGTTCTTCGGAGGACCAGGGAAAACCCTGATAGCTTGTTTCTAGAGTACCTACTATATTTACTTATTTACTATATTTACTAAATATTTACTATATTTACTATATTTACTTATTTACTAGATTTAGGAACTGGATGAGAGATCATAATTGCCCAAAGGAGAGCCAAGAAACTTTCTGATGGAGGAAGGATTGGAACCTGCATCTTCCTACTGAAAGCGCAGGATGGACAGCTCGATGCTACCCCCATTTTGCAAAAGGAACACAACTTTTCAGTTCATTCCTAAACATTTCCCCCTTGGTTTCGATTCTGTTTCTGATTAACCTGAAATAAGTAGGGGAATTAATTCCTAAATATATAATAGCCACCTGCACTTTTGCTTTCACCTCTCCTTCTTGGTAGGACTTCTTACCCCATTCTCTTCAAGGGCAGCCAACGGCTTGTTGATGCTGTTGACAAATTTGTTGACGTGCTCAAAATGTTTGGTCATTTCCGTGGCCAGGACCATGTCAATAATGGCTTGTCGCAGAGTTCGGTATTCATTCCTAGATATAGAAGACAAAGGGAAAAATGGGTGCAGGGCTTTGTTTCAGACAATATTGCAAAGAAAGACCATCCTGACATTAAAGCCAGGGCTGGATCTGCTCTCAGTCCCCAAAGGACATCCAAAAGGTGCTCCTGAATCGTAACATCTAGTTTGACTGAAAGCAAAGAGGACAAAATACATAGGAAATGTCGATGTGCAAAACATTTTGAACCAAAACAATTCAAAACTCTGTTTCAATTCAAAGCTAGGCTCTTTCAAGCATTTTGGAAGGGTTTTGAGCTTGAAAAGCTCTCTTTTGAGTTTGACATGTTCTACTTTGATCTTCAAACACTTTCAAAGTGACGGAAAGAGCCCATCTCAAACACAAAACCACAGTTTCAAGTGGCGCACGTTCAAAACATTTTGCACAACGCTAATGGGAAATAGCATGTAAGTGTGACGCAATGGACACATAGCACATCATTGATGTAATTTGCATGATGATACAAAGACACATGTGTCGCTTCCAGCTGATGCCTGAAGCCCCAAAGATTGACTCGGTGCAGTCCATCAGTAGAATTTCCCATATGAAAAACATTGCCAGTTTTATGCCAGCATGGTGAAGTGAAGTGTTGGATTGGCGCCATGGAGAGCCGAGTACTATACAAGTCCACCCTCAGCCACAGAAGCTTATTCATCAAGGCAAGATACAGATCCAACAAATAAATAAATAATAAGGCAAACCAGCCAGGCTCCCCCCAACTGATCTCTTTCAGTTATTTGGGACTTTAGTTTCCAACAGACTTGGAATTATGGAAGCTGCAGTCCAAGACTTCTAGAAGCCAGTTGAGAAAGTTTGAATCAGGTCATTAATTGGACCTCATAGTTTTCCGTACAGACTAACTTCCAGACAGACTACTTTTCCTTGTTGCGATATCAGCATACGTGTGAGAAGTTAGTTAAACAACAGGGTAATATGCTCATTTAGAAGGAATGGTCATCTGTAATATTTTCTTTCCCTCTCTTACTATGATACAGCAGAACAACCATCCAGAGCACCACCAACAACAGTTTGCTCTAAGCTCTTAAAATTTGCTCCTCCTGATTAATTAACTACAATTTTAGTGGATTAAACACATTCTTGTATTAACAGATTAATTAGTAATGCTGCTAGGAGAAACAACTCCAAAATGATGATACTGTCAAACTGTTCTTCACCTACTGTTCATCATTTGGGCTTAGCATTTTGTTATAAACCATGATATCCTGTTGAGTTTCTATTGACAAATTGCATTCTGTATGGCTCCCACCATGCATTAATGGTGCTGTAGAAGCTACTCTGAATAAGATTTATGAATGAGATCTGTTAAGACGATAGTGCTTCATAATGTAGATGGGGGGCATTCACTGTGATCTCCAATTAAAACATTTCCCTGCATGTGGAAAGTTAACACTTGGTAAAAGGACCATTTTCCTGATGTCCCTCTACAGTTAATTTTTTTTACATTGAAATTAAAAAAAAAAAATGCATTATTCTAACTATATGCATAAAATGAGCCACATCCATTATATCTTTCCCCTCAAAATAGTATAAACCTG